CAATTTTTCTCTCATAATCACCATTGTCTTCCGGTTATCAGCATCCTTCAGTATTTTGCAATGCTCCTCGTTTTCAAGAAATTATCCAGAAAAGTTCCAAATTTTTTCTTCTTTTTTGAAGGAGAAGGAGAAGGAAAAGAAATTCCAACTTTTTACATTTCCATTTTGTATTTTCATGAAACTTGTTCGGCCAAACAATAAAACCTTCCTTATCTCAAAAAATAAGAAGTCATTGCACCTCCATCTTGATATTGAGCTGTATTCTATAGCAAAATGATGAATTTGAATCAAGGAAACAAATGGAAGATGGAAATGCAGAGAGAAGTGTTTAATTTTGAGAATGTTTAATTTTGCCAGGACTAGTATTTGAGAATGTTTAATTTTGCCTCTTCTAATATGAGACACATAGATACACACACAAGGCTGAAACAAAGGGAGGGATGGGCGAAAATCTGATGTTTTGGGTAGAGAGAAATTCAAAAGCTGATATAATATTTTATTTTTGAGGGGATATGTTTTCTTTGATAGGACAACTTTGTGGGAACTCTGGAAAACAGATTTTACTCTTCTGTAAGGTACTCCTTCTGTCCCATAAAATATGACCTGGTTAGTTTTACAATGGTTGACTACTTGATACACTCTGTCTAACATCAGATATGAATAATTACAATTCTTAGAATAAACAGTATATATTAGACTAAAGAAAACCCTCTATGAACCATATATTTCTTACCAAAATGTGATGAAAGTAGTATTAAATATCATTAGGGTGGACAAATATTTTCCACCTGTAACAGTAACTGCGTCGAGTTTCATAATGCAGACTGCAGAGGGAGAAAGCACAGCTATTTTTAAAAAATGGAAAAAATTGAATACACAATATTCTCATTGGGGGCATGGTTTCAGTAAACTGAACACTGAACATATTTTTCAGTGACTAACTTGTTACTGCAGTCATGGATCTGCTCTTTTGGATCCACTTAACATCTTAAAGTACACATGAGCATCACTTCAAGACCAATCTAAACAATAATTAAATAAAGGATGCCATTCAGACTATCTTAAAATATCTCAGCCAAGTTCAATCTGTTAAAAGTAGGGTGCTGCATTGTGTGAATAAACTAATTAAAGCTCCCGATTTCACTATTGAAATTTTGGACAGAAATACAATAAAGAAGCTCACCAGCATAAGGTACCAACATATTTGCTTCTTGAACCAGTGAACCAATTCTTGTTTGCATGCTGATGCATCGAGATTGTGCTATACTCATTGCCCAAATAAATCTCTCAGGATCCTGAGCAAGACGCTTAATTTTGAGAGGTACTGCAGAATGCTAAACAAATAAAGAAAGTCAAAGGCCAATGTTAGTGAGCAGGAATCTGGGGGAAAGAGATTTAACAAGATTGTCTGTACCCAGTTTTTCTCCCAAAACTCAAGTGCTCGATTTTGCTGTTCTCTCATGGTAGAAGCAAGCTTCTCGTCTTGCAACTCCAAAAGATCCTCCTACACCACAGAAAGCATTAAGAAGAGCATCAGGAACACAAAACAATTATTTATTTACTCTAGCACTGAAATTCTAGAAATTAATCCACCATGAATATGCCAAATGCAGCCATTCCATTTTTCAGTTTGCAACTAATCTTTCTAATCAAAACCAGCCCAGCTGACTAATGAAAATGCAAAGCACAGAAATGAAGAAGCTTCAACCACATATTAATTTTCAGATTGAAAACCAAAATGGTAACTCCAAAATAGACTTAAATACACAGAAGAGAGCTTCAACAGTCATGGAAAAAAACAAGATTCAGTCGAAGAAACTTTTGTTATAAATTAGAACCCACTAATAGCAAAGGTCACATAACAGTGTGAATATCACAAAAGCTTTTCTAATTCACATTTCGAGTTACTCAAACTTGAACCTCAGCAGAACACCATAACAAAGTGCAGAATAATTTTGTGAATGCATAGCATTTTCTATAGAATCTTCCACAAAATATTACATTAATTGAATGCACTGAAATTTGGATGATACTCATATCCAGACCTCGGTAGCTAGAAGAAAGCTAGTGCATTCATCAGCACTAGGCAAGAAGTCTCCGTATAGCTGCCAAAAGTTGTCCTTGCAATCAAAAGCATATAAAAGAAGGCACGCCAACCTCAAGTCCGAATCTGTCTGCCATAAGAAGGTAATCAATATTAAAAAGTCACAAGAAATCTTAGAAAACCAAAAAGAAAATGAAAAAATTTAGAGCATAAAAACAAATCCTCTCATGTGTACCATTAGGGAAAAGGTAAGACGTCTAATTTTTATTTTTATCCAATCAAAGAAAATGTGGATAAATATTCTCCCATGTGTTCCATTAAATAATATTTAGTAGGAAAATTAAAATATTTAAAAGGAAAATGCATCCTTTTACCTCGGGATTGGTTGAATTGATAATGTCGAATACTGGATGTCCTACAGGTATAATATCTGGAAAAAACATCCAAGGAAGCTTTTTGCTTATGGTTAACATAAGTTCTAAAGGAATTTCCATTATTACCTGCATTACAAACAAAACCTCATGATTCACTGAATTTTAGTGATAACGAAAAGGTGTGAAGATAATCAGTGCGAAAAGAGCAATCAAACAGCCAAGCTAATGCCAAATGAATTAGACAGTCAAAACTATGTAGGACATGATAAAATACACCACAGCAGGAGAAGAATTAGTAGTGCCTAGCCACTGCAAATATAACTTATCAAGGTTAAAAAGCAAATGAGGGAAATCAACTAAAGATACTTATCTCAGAGAGAAGGAAGGTAGTTTAAAGGTATTACAATTCTCCCATGTCCTTTTTTCCTACCCCCACCAATTTCATGGTGGAATTGATGGGATGAAGTCCAGCTTTTGGTATAGTAAAACATTGATGGAGCAGTAAATTTGACACTGCTTCCGATGGTAATTGATATAGTTAAACATTTCATCAGGAGGAGGAAAACATTGTACATACAAACATGTTGTAAGGTAGTGCTCACCCTAGCTCGACGGAGAGGTTCCACGTCTTTGGAAGCAAACACTCCATACCCATCTGGTCCCTCCCTGAATTCAATCCCGTAGGCTCGAAAACTTCTAACATATCCTATTTTGTAGAAATCAGGATCTGCCAGTTCCAACTGTTCATATGAAAATGTTATACCACCATCATCAACAATTAGAACAGGAGAAAATAAGGATAATTTGAAATAATCAAATAGGAAAATATATGTTCATCAGCTTCTCAAAGGATGTAAGACCGAGAAAGTAGAGGGATTCCAACCATTAGTTTGACTATGTAACAATAGAAATGGGATATCTATGCATGAGAACGTGAGAACGAACATGAGCATCTAAGTGAAAATCTTAAGGTAATTGGGGAGTAGCTCAAAATCATCATAACCCTTTGGATGCCCCTAAACACCAGATGTTAGGCATTCTATATATCTGAAACCAATGCAGACTCACACGTGTGAGAACGGACTTACTAATTGGTTAGAAATTCCGACATATTAAAGAAAAATTTATGCAGTGAAGGAGTAGTAGAGAATGCTTTAGGTATATGATTCCCCTATACCTGATGTAGAACATTTTGTATTTCTAACACAGTAATCACCAAAAATTTATATGGGACCTGACCTAGAACCAAATAATTTGTGAAGAAAATCTGAATGAGGAACAAAACCAATTCATAAGAACAATTCCATCGATCTTCAAAGTGTAACTCCTATCTTTTCCAAACATCAACTGCCTGGCTGTCACTTCCTTCAATTTATTGAGAGACTAGTGCTTATTGTTGTCCATTGTTTGTTTGGCATTCTATTAAAGTAAAAGAAACCATGACTGAAGAGGAAAAGGTATGCAGTGCCAAAACTCTAACTACAAAAAAGAGTACATAAAAGTGTTGCATATTGCACTTATACAGTGAGCTTACCAAAAGAAAACAGCACTTATCACACAGAAAGTAACAAGATGTGATTAAACTAAACTTGAACTTCAAGAACATGAAACAGAAGGGGCAAGTAGAAAATACCTGAGAAGCGGGAGTATCTTGGGGTTGAGAAGGGGGTGTAAAAAGAGGAAATGCAGAAGGAGACGGAGAAGAATCATAGGCCTCCAAAGTGGAAGAAGTAACAGCACCATTAGCACTTGAAGAAACTCTCAAAGGTCTGTTTCTCTTGTTACTATTACATACCAAAATAGGTTGTTTCTGCAATGATGCAACACATCCATGCTGCAGACCTCTCCATAGCTGGTTCAATTATTAAAAAATCAAACACCCATAAAATCAAAAAGCAAAAAGATTCATTCTTGAATGATTTGGTTTTGTGGGGGCGAAGGCCTAACCTGATGGTGAAGCTCTGGCTGGTGGAAGAAGTTCGTCGGTTGCTGAATTAGAATGGTGGAAGAAACCATTCTTGAGAGTGAGCTAAAAATTTAGTGGAATTTCAGTAAAGAAGATTCATACATCGATGGAATTTGGGTTCTTGAAACGTTATCCACTCTACTGTCAGTGAGAGAGTGCCCAGGGGTTTTTCCTGGGTTTAAATTTTTTGATTTTTTTTCCCTATTTTATTCCACAATTCTGCTACTTAATTTATTAATTTATTTTTATATATATTCTTTTATCTTTATGGAAACGGTGTGATAAAGAAATTTAGCAAAATAAATATTTAAAAATGTGTCTGACTTTGTTTTCACTGTGTAAAAATTATCAATGTTGGCGGTAAGAGGGATCAATGACGTCGAAATAATTATAATAAAATCATAATTTTAAATCAAACATTACTTTATATTATATCATTTTTATTATTAGGCTTGAATTTACAAATAAAACTTTACTTAAATCTAGTTAAGTATTGTTCGAATCAAGTAATTATAAATCATCTGAAAAAATCAAAGGATTGATGCAACTAATTTGGGACCAAAACTTAGTTGATCGACAAATATATGAATGTTGGACAACATGCAGAGGACCATTATCTGAATTTTGACCATTTGCACCTGTCATATGATACTATCATATACAAAATTATAACCATATGACATGAGATTAGCAACTAGAAAGCCACGTAAGGTACCAGGAAAAACATTTGGATGTTTTGTTATACATAGAAAAGACCTTCAACCTGTCAACTAATTTAATCGAAAGGCCAACAACAGCACCATGTACTGGATACAATCTTAGTCAACATTACAATAAAGTAACTCTCATCTCCAGCTATGCATATGACTGAGTTAGGATGTTCATGTCCCAAGACTGATTAATAATGTGTGATAGCATTGTTGGCAGCACTTCCTGAACCCCAAAGAGAAACAAGATATCACAAACTTCAAGTGATTGACACTATGGAGATCTCGTCTTGAGATGCTTATTGCTCTCTTCTTACTGAGCATGATTAGGTCGTCGTATGCACCTTGACTATTCCGCTAGGTACCTGCATCCTTTCAGTACTGTTGGTATCGGATAACTCTACCACCAGGGTTTAGGCAGAAGGAAGAGATCACCCAAATGTGTTGCCTCTATTTAAGATTTGAACCTTAGTCTCCCATGGAGTTTACTCCAACTTCATCAACTAGGCCACATCCCCCAAAGACAATATCTGTACAAAAGGAAGAGAAAAAAAGTCAAAAGGAATTAGAGGTCCTATAACAACAGATGCACCAGTGCTTTCAGAACTAAATTGACTCATAAATCACGTAGCTTCAGACAAACAAGTAGCCCTCCTACCACATTTTACGCAAAATCTACCACAAGCAAAAGGAAATTCAAGTAAGCAACAAATACAAGTGCATTAACAACATTTCAAAGTTCTTAAAACTACAACAGAATTAACATAAGCTAAGTGATGTCCATTGAGTCGCAGCTCCATGATCAAGAAACTGATAAAATATCGATCTTGTCCATGCAAAATAGAAAAAAGAAAAAGGTCAGAAACCAGCTTTAACACACATCAAAGAGGTACCAGTGACAACTTCGACATAGATAGGTCCCATGTGTCTAGATGACAAAAACAACCACTGACGTCTCAATTCAGTGTGAAATGAAGGAGCTAAAGACACAAGGAACTTAAGCCTGCATCAGAAATGCACATCTCTCCAAACATTGAATTACATCGAGTGAAGCTAGTTATCCAAAAAAAAAATTGTACAACTAATTCAACTTAAAACCAGAGAATGTCCAGTCCATCTTTTGCTTAATGTGCAAACTTTTAAGAACACAAATATGCACAGAAACTAAGAGAAGGCTATATAAAAAACACAAGTCTTATCAAATTCCAAGCTTTGTGTACAACGAGCAAGGATTCATAATAAGCATACTCTTCTACTGGTTCCTATACATATTTTCAAACCACCTATGCATACTTCTGTATTAACCCCCATCTCTAAGTGTTGCCCCTTATCCACAAGATTCAAAATCTTGTTCCATTATCTTGATCTTCGGATTAGATAAGTTACTACTACTCAAACATTTAGAGAAAATATATGAAGACTTTTGCAGCATATTTCTGCTATCTTGTCTTGCTGCTTAAAACAATTTAGCATCACCTACACCACCAGGTCTCAGCCACCAACCATGCAATGGTGGTCAGAGAGACAGGTTCTTCTGGAACTAACTTGTTTACAACCTCACAAGCACTTATAAGTGCATCTAATTAACAACAGAACTAAGAAATACACAAATACAGTGAGTGGACAGGATACTGAAGGTACGTAACACATTTGAAGCTTAATGGTAAATCAAACAGACACGTACGGTCCAAAAGTAACAGATTAAGCCTTATAGCCAGTTAGGTGCAAATACACATTCTAATAAAGCATTTTATTAAGATTAAGCTTCTGATGATAGAGAAATTGAAATTGCACAAAATAAAGGAGCAAATAAGTATAACACAACTATCCACACCACAATAGGCACAGAAGTATTAACAAAGGTATGTAGAGTATTATGCAAGAACTGTATGACTATCAGTAAAAACTACTGAGAATGGGCATTGAAGCAAAAAACAATAGTTTATCACATTATGAGTTGATAATCTCCACAATAAAGCAAAGGATATCTGCACAAACTTAACTGATAATTCAAGAATGCAAAGTCTACGAAGACAAATTGACACTACCAACTTAAGTGAAGCTTGTAATTCAGAAGTGCAATCACAATCATTCATGCAAATGCTGTAAAATTTCCCATTTTTCAGTTCATTTTAGCCTTCTCCAACAAGAAGAAAGTAGCACAAGTAATAACACCACATAGCATTAGCCACAAATAGTAGTCATTAGCCAAATAATTTACCTTAAAAACTCTCTATTCAATCCAATTTGAGATTATACTATCCAATAAAGCAACCACTTCCTCATTTCCCTTGTCCCCATTTTCAACACACTTCAAATCTTCATTCAGTTCTTGAGCCTCCTTAATCCTGGCCTCCCTCAGAAGACTTCTATACACCCACATCCTAACCTCACCCCCAACCTTCAAATTCCCAACTACCATCATCCTCAAAACCTTCAACCCCTCCACAACCATATCATTCTTGCAAAACCCGTTCACCAAAATAGCACACAATCCATAATCTACAGGACAAGGGAAATCAGGCCTGGACACCCAATGAAAAATCTTTAAACCTTTCTTAGCCTCCCTGTTCCTAAAGTACAAAGAAACCAACATTTTACAAATGGGTAATAGAAAAGATTGAGCCTTTGGGGTGTACTTGAGGCGATTGAGGAAGTACATGGGTTGTGTAAGGTCAGGTTCAAGAGAGAGTCTGTGAATGAAAATGGAAACAGAAATTGATTCTAAAGATGGGTTTGTGAGAAATGCTGTTGTGATGAGATTAGCAGCTTCTTTGAGGTGATTTGAAGAGCACAAACGTGGGATTAGTAGATTGATTTGTGTAAGCTCTTCTTGGGTCAGAAAAGTTGCTGCAGTTATGCTTGTTGTGGGTTCCATTTGGGCATGAGGAGAAGAAGAAGAATACGATGATGTTAAAGGCAAATAATTAGCAGTGAAACGAGAGAGAAGAGATGGTGAATGAAGGAAACGCAGTCTTTGAATCGATCTCATGATTATGAAGCAGCCATTAATGGTGTGATTGGTGTGATGGGTCGTATAAATACCCTGTCCCGTCCGAAATTGTTTGTTTTTTATTTTTCAAAAGTGAATTTGATTAATTTTTAAAGTTAAATTATATTATATTAATTTGATATTTTAAATAAAAAATTATATATTCTAAAATTATATGAAAAGTATTATAAATTGTAATTTTTTGCATATTAATATGATAAAAAATATATCTTAAAATATTTATCAAAATTTTTATAATTTGACTGTAAAAATGAAAAAAATAATTAATGAAAAATTGACATTTTATTTGTCACACTTTCTAACCAGGGCGAGTCAATTCTATATCAAAGAATTTAAATTTAAAAATTTTAATTAATAATCGAAAAATATTTATTATTTGATCATAATTTTTGTTAGTGAAAATTTCAAGTATATAAAAAGAAAAGATTAAATCTGGATGACTTCCTCTATTTGAATTTATTGATATAACTAGGTAAATTATTCATACTTCACACGGGATTGAACTATTTTATTAAGCTCACATATGATCATTCGATAATATTCTTATTTAAGAACTTTTTTTTTTAATGCAAAGCGTTGCTCCAAAATCTTAATGTTCTATATTTTTTATAATTATTTCGAGTACAAGAAAAATGTTTAAGAAATCCCTATAGATATAGTTGGTCAGAAGTAATGAAGTTTTTTAAATTCCAAATAGTTATAAAAAAACAACATCATACAATTAAGAAGAGACCAAAAAGTCTCGAACAACAACACTCCCATGTAAAATGGAACATTAGATCCATACAAGAACATAATAAACTAAACTCAAATGAAAGATCTTCAGCTCATTTTTTACGAACCTCCATCAATTTATTTTTATTATAGTATGACTTATCATGTATATGTTTAAAAATAAGCCTAAAATTGATTATGTCATTGTCTCATAGTAGTCATTAATATTGATTATGTTTCATATCACCGACCTCAACTTTTTTTAAAATTGAACCATAGTTATTTTTATGAATTTAGTATGCAGTTAGAAAGAATTAATCCAGATATCAACTATGAAGTAGGTGGCCTCTGAATGGAACGGTTCGCAGCTGGATATTCTAAATCAAAATTTTGATACATAACATATTAAAATCTCACAACATAATTTTGTTAGCACTTGAACTTACAAATATCCACAAATAATAATAAAAACAACCATGCTTTCCTAGCAATCAAGAAGAAAACTTTATCAAAATAAATGTTGCTTGTCTATGAAGTAGTATACAAGTTTACAGTTCACAAATTTAATTAAATAATTCAAAAGAAAAAATTGTTACTTCTTTATTTAAAAAAAAAAAGGATAATGCCCAAGTACCCCCTCAACCTATGCCTGAAATCTCAGAGACACACTTATACTATACTAAGGTCCTATTACTCCCCTGAACTTAATTTATTAATAATTTTTTACCCCTTTTTAGCTTACGTGGCACTATCTTGTGGGCCCAACGATGATTGACTTTTTTTTCGAACTAGTGCTACGTAGGCTAAAAAGGGGTAGAAAATTACATATTAAATAAGTTCAGGGGGGTAATAGGACCTTAGTATAGTATAAGTGTGTCTCTAGAATTTCGGGCATAGGTTGAGGGGGTACTTGGGTATTTTCCAAAAAAAAACATAAAACTTTATCAAAATAAAGAGTTATGACTACAGTAAAAATGATATTTAATAACAATTAATAGTTTAATTATCGGTAAATATGTATTTTCAGAGACAACTGGCGCTCTCTATAAATATTCCTAAAGATTATAGCAGTATTGAATCTAATGACATTAATTAATGTCGGTAAAGACTCTAGCACTCTTCGTTAATGTGCATAACTATTGTTGATAAAAATTATATTTGTTATAGTGTATTTTGGACATTTGTTTGTTTCAAAAAAACTTGATCTCTTATTAAGCCCCAAAAGAAGAGACGGAGAAATATGACAAATTACTTAACTTGCGACAAAAGAAGTGGATTAATTGTGTCTATACTCTATACTAATATTTTAGTAAGAGTGCAATAATACACGAATTGTTTGTACCTAAGAAAAACAATCAAAATGATACATTAATCGTGGCAAGCAATACAATAGTTTGTTTGATTCTTTTATCAAACTTCATCATTGGTTCTGTGTCAGTTATCATATATTTATTGTTGTGTGCTGTCAAATATAGTACAGCCCACAAGTAATCTCCCAAAATGTTTATGAAAAAACTTCTAGAAAGGTACAAAAGAGAAGATAAATTTTCAACAATCCTTATTGAAATTTTTAACATAGTTAAAGAAATCACCAAATAGAAAATGAAAAAAGAGATAGATACACGAATCATTATGACTTACATTAAAAGATTAAGTTTCATTAAATAAAGGGAAAAAAATTTTGAGAAATGAAACACATTTCATGAGATGTTTAAATAATTTATTTGAATTCTACTGCCCAATGACAAAACAAACAAATAATAGTGGCCAACAAAAAAATTTGTTTGCTAAAGAACAAAATGTAATGAATTCGACCATTTCAACAGCGTTAAGTCGTGGAATGAAATATGCAAGAGTACTAATATCGCATTGCAATCAAAAATCTATTTTATTTGTTTATACGAAGAAACCTGTAGAAAGAGCCAAAAGGGAAGATCAATTTTCATTAGTCTTTGCTGAAATTTTAACAGAGTTTTAGAATAAGTCACCAAAGTAGCAAAATAAAATTCTCATATTTACATAAATGACTATGACTTAAAGTAAATATTAAGCTCCATAAAACAGGAAGAAAAAATCCTTGAAGAATGAAACAAACTTCTTAATTAGTTTAATTAGTGTAGTTGAATTTGGCTATCCTAGAGCGGAAAAACACATACACATAGTAGTGACAGAAAATTCTTTTATTTATACACAACTAAGAATAGTGTGAATACATTCTTATTATGCCTTATTAGAAATGTCACAATTCTTTAAAAAGTCACAACTTTTTATAAAAGTCAAATTTTTTCATAAAAACCGCAATTTTTCATAAAAGCCACAACTTTTCACAAAAGTTACATTTTTGATGTAAAAGTCGCAACTCTTCATTAAAGTCACGACTTTATATAAAAGTCACAACTTTTCGAAAATGTTATAACTCTTTTGAAAAGTTACAATCCTTTTGGAAAGGTTACAACCTTTCATTAAAGACACAACTCTTCATAAAAGTTACACCTTTTAATGAAAGGAGAATGCTAGTTTTGAAAATAAAATAAATTCAAACAGGATTCTTGTTTGTGGTGACGCCACATAGGCGAACTTAGGGTTTTCTTTTATATATATATATGTGTGTGTGTGTTTGATTTTAACTTTATTTAAGTTTAAAAAATAAAGATAATATTAAATATTATTAAAAAAAATTTAAATATTGTGATCATAAATATACCATATGAAAATTTAACATTGAAAATTCTAAAAAAACAAATATGTTAAATATATTAATAAAATATTCTTTTAACATAACTTAAAATTAATTTAAAGTGTAACTTTTCAGTATTTTGTAAAAAATATATATCTATATAAGCTATACCTAAGAATTTAAATAATATCTATTTCATAGTTAAGATTTTAGTTTCGCACTATATGAATTGAACTTGTATAAAAGTTCGGACAAGTTCGGGCTCAATATTTATATTATTTCATATGTTTTAATTTATAATTCATTGTCATTAATATTGGGCAACTTTCACATATAACAAACAAAAAATTCATATTTGTATGTTATAGCAAAGTTTGCATAATTGCGTTCCATAACAAACATAAAACTGTATAATTCGCTATAGATATACAATTGTATAATTCGCTGGCCTAAATTGTATAATTCGCTGACCTATTTCGCTGCAATTATATAATTTGCTGGCCTATTTCGCTGCAATTATATAATGCATAATTGAATAATTCGCTGCCTATTTCACTGCAATTTTTTTTATAAAATTTGCTTTGCATACAATTGAATCGAATTAAAATGTATGTATATTGCATAATTATAAGTGTATAGCAAGAAGATATATGTTTTTCTCTCGCTTTATACAAAAACAGAAACACAATATATACACTTATGTTGTATAAAGTTAGAGAAAATTGTATTTCACTACAATTGTATAATTTGTAATTGTATAATTCGTTGACCTTTTTCTCTGCAATATTCGTATAAAATTTGCATTTGTCTACAATTGAATTGAAGTAAAATGTTTGTAAATTGTATAATTAAGTGTATAACACGAAGATATATATTTTTGCATGTGTATATACAATTTTCTCTCGCTTTATACAAAACAGAAATTATACACTTCTGTGTATAAAACGAGAGAGGCGAGCAAAGGGAGAGTGGTGAGCGAGAATGGGAGAGTGGCGAGCGAGAATGGGAGAGTGGCGAGTGAGATTTTTGGGAGAGAGGCGCCTGGCGAACTTTGGCTAACGTTTGGTATGGAGCACAATTAAATCAATCCCTAGTTACTCGATTTATTTTAGATTATTAGTTTGCTATTATATACAATTTTTTCTTATTTTTATGATTTTTCAAACATATTTTTTAAAAATAATTAATATATTTTAAAAGCCCTAATTTGCAAACAACTATAATAAATTTAAAATAACTAAACTATCCAATATTTTTACTTTTTCCCTCAAACTATATAATAGTGGATATAGTAATAGAGAAATATTGATAATTTGTATTTGTAGGGTAAAATAAATCTTTAAAAAAATGAATTGTGATATAATGTAAATAATGTCTCATTAGAAAATTACCCAAATTATTTGGGTTAATTCTTATTTTAAAAGATATTTTTCGGTACTTATGTACTTTTTACTCCTATAAAATAGAGCAAATAGAAACTTGTTTCTTTTCCCAAATTAGAGAAGATTTCCTCTCAATACCGAACCCTACTTTCCACGCCGACCCGGATCCGTTTTCCATACCATACTATCGCTTAAACCCCTACAGCCAACGCAGTCTTTCATCTCTCTAACCTTAGTT